CTCATTTGCTCATTTGGGAAAGATGCATTCACCGATGCTCGATTCTCAAGAGGAGCAGCATTTCATTCGCGAGAGACACATATACACACGCGATAAACTCAATACATGTATTATTATTTTCAAATCAATTATTAGAAATAATAAATAAATATATATATATTTATTTATTTATTTATTTCTATTCCTAATATATTTTCTCTTGTGCGTAGGGCCTTACTTTCGTAGCATGACTCAGTTATTTTCAAGCCTTAATGATACAAAAGAGAGAAGTATGGGTGCTATACGAAGATTATATAGGAAGTAGAACGACATAGGATTGCAGCTCGCGCATCTCAACGTCGCAAGCACGTATAGACATTAAATTCGATGTCTTTTTCTCTTGCTTTTTTCTTTCTTTCTTTTCTTGTTCGTTTCTTTCCATTCTACATTCTCTTGTTTTCTCTTTTTTCGTGTTTTTTTTTCTTTTTATCCTTTCCCTCTTTTCGCGTTTCGCGATCTTACAATTTCTTCTTTTGACTGAGAATCCTTTGATATCGGCAACCGCCCTCAATGGGGCTGTTAGCGGCCTTTAATTACATCACCGCGCTACAATATTCACCATCCCTGGTATATTGCTACTTCTGAGAAAGAAATATATTCTTGTCGAGAAAGAAATATTCGTGCTGTGCGAGACAAAGCCGGCGCGCACAGTGGTTTCGATCGGGAGAGCCATTGCTGAAGCTATCGTGATACCGAATCATCCACATAGATTCACGCATCTGCGTGCGAGTCAGTTCGAATTTTTTTTTCCTTTTCTTTGTGCGCGCGTCAGTCGCCGATCGTGTATCACGAAAATACAATGTTGTTCCGAGACGGCGAGGGAATGAAAATGATCGAAGACGTTCGATCCTCGGAGTTAGCTTGTAATATAAAACGCTGAATCAGCATCGGAAAAATATCGTCAAGTCGTGCTACATACGTAATTTTTTTCCCCTCCCCTCCCCCAACCATGATTCAACGATCGCGATCGTGTTACATCCTACGTAAGTAGATTCTCACAACTACAAAATAATTGAGACACACACAGAAAAATACATACTATATACAAGTAAATATTACTTGTTTCAAGTATTTCAAAAGTTCATATATCCGCAAATCTATCATAAGTTCATCATAAGTATCAAATTTATTCAAAATGTATTCTGAATCCTAGTAAGTTTAATACTTCAATCACGAATATTAACTTATCTAATTGAAAGAAATACACTAAATTTTTCTGATCTAATAAAATTTCTTACATTAAATTAACCACATCTGACTTTTCTTCGATAAAATTTTATAATTTCTTCAAAAGAAAATAATTACTTTTTTTGAGTACATGATAATGAGTTTTTCTAAAATTTATGACAAGTCTATTTTAAGACTATTATTAAGAAAATATTCTTTGTTAAAGATAACTGTTACTTAAAAGAAGAAAAGTAAACTGAGTAATCATTTTTTTTAGCAATAGAATAATATTTTTCTGTGTAGTTTCCTCAAATTTCTTCTTTCATAACTTCTTTTTCATTACATGTTTTAAAGAAAATCTCTAAATACTTCATTGACTATTTTTAAACTGGTCGAATCACCGTATATTAAATATTATTAAAATTACAGGGATCGAAGAAAGAAAATCACTTTTTTTTAAATCGATGATATAAAGAATATACATTTCAGAATTTCGCAATACGAGCGCGAAAGATAAGTGTTTGTTGTCGCGATTAGGACAGAAAAAAAATTAATATGTTCAACATTCATGATTTATGCGAATATTTTTGCTTCGAGCAGCTATTTCTCGAAACTGTCGTCATCTCGTTCACATCACATGTTCTTGAACTTGCACAACTTGAGTTGATCACGACGACGATCAGTCACGGTTTATCAACGGAGAGAGGTACGAGTGCGCCGAACCGCGAGAAGAATCAAAGACCATTCAGTCGATCGATCATCGTGTTGTAATATTATAACGCAAGTATCGGATACTCTTATCTAAAATGTGATTATTATATAAGTGATTATTGTATAAGTGTTAATATTATTGCTGCTAGAAGATACATCCCGTAACTTGGCGATTTGGAGTAATTTTCTCGTAATTTTAGTTGTGCAAATATTGTTAAATATCTATTATATCCCGAGAAAAAATGGATTTATGCGATTATATAAGATTGTATATGGCCACATATGATCTTATGTCCATTTTTTCTCGGGTGGCTTCGAATAATACAGCGTGAAAAATATTACTAATATAAGTATAAATTCTCCAACGCGATAAATATTTAATAATAAAATTTATATATTAAATAATTGAATTTTTTAATAACCCCACACATTATAAAGTATCTTAAATGTTATTTGTATAAAAAAAAAAAATTTAGATATGTTCATCACAAAAGACAAAGAGAATTTTAGATTGAAAATATATTATAATTTACACGAAAGAGCAACCTTTCATTTCCGTTGCTTATTAAATCATAAATAATTTATATTATTGGTAAATGTCGTTTGATACTTTATCCAAAACAGAAGTACGTTGTGTATGTATGAGATTGTTAACTTTTATGACTATGATAATTTCTTAAACCCAAGAATTACGCGTGTGTGCGCGAGAAACGGCAAACTGGACCAAAGTCTAAGGCCGACGTCTTTTTTCCAGCGGTAATATTGTAGTGCACAGCCTTCGTAGAGAAGAGAATTAAGACGACTGTGGAGGCACAAAGAGGAATGTCGACGTCCCGACGAAGAGGCGGATAGATTTTACTTACTAACGAGGTTCCCTGCATAACTCGTGAACGAAAATGAGGCCATTCGCAATCGTTCCCGCCCTTATCTCCTGGTTAACAATCGTCGATTGCGTTTCGACCGGAGGATTCTGCGATCCGGAAACGGGGGACGGTGAGTTATAAAATCACGGTATATCAATATCACGATAAATAATACTGTTAACAACGAATACAATGCTTCAATCGATTGAATACTGCATCATTGCATCTTTGTATTGTGTCTGTAAAATATTGTATTCGGCATCATATTTCTCGATCGATTCAAGGAAACATTTTCCTTGCGATTCTTTGCCCGGGATTTACAGGATGTCTACTCAAATCTTGTAAAAAATTTCCTTTATCTTCCAGGTATTTTTATTCAAAATTCCAGATAACGAGAATATTTTAAAAATTTTTTGGTGTAATTTTCTAAAATAATTTTTTTTGTTGTACGCATTTTTTAATGCTTTTCATTTATAAAAAAAGGAAACACATAAAGCTACTTAAATTTCAAGTGCTAGATTTACAAATGTACTGAAAAAAAAAATTGAATAGCTTTCGTTAAGATAAAAATTTTTAATTTACATAACATATTCATTTTTTATCACTAAAAATTAAAATAAAGAATATGTACTGCATATTTGATTTTTTGTTCAGGCATTAAATATATATACAGAGATAGATATATATATTTAATAATATATTTTAAACACATAATTCACAATTTGGCTTACTGACGGATTGCCTACTGCTTACAGACTTACAGTATAAGAGCAAAATTATCAAAAAGAAAATTTTTTTAAAAATTCCCCAAGTTCCAATAAAATTCTATGAGAGTTCTCTGATTTCTCCAGGTACAAAAAACTCCTTGATAACTCCAGATTTTCCATGTTTTTTCATGGAGACATCCTAATTTATATAATTATGCAACATATTTAATTGTCTTAATTTTGCAAAGCAATAATTCGATTAAATCATCGATAAAGATTATTGACATCTACACACAGAAAAATACATACTATATACAAGTAAATATTACTTGTTTCAAGTATTTCAAAAGTTCATATATCCGCATATTTGAATTTTGTGCTTTTTTTATATTAGAGTACCATGTCGCCTGGCTAAGAAACGGCACAATAAGATTAACAAACTGTCTGCAAACGCAGCCTCACTGGATGGCAAAGAGGAGGAACATTCTAGGATCACTGCCGATGAGCAGAGTATTTTTGCCAGGTACACACGATTCTGCATCGTACGCGATACACGAGCGGGCAAACTCTGAGAATATCGTCGAGAAATTTGTAATAACCCAGGTAAATTTATAATTGCTTATCGAGAATTGAATATTTTTTAAGTCGTTAAAGTACAAGATATATATCTATGATATTAATTTTTCGTAGTAGATTCTTTGATTCAGAAGAGACTTCCCCATAATATAAAAACACATATAGTGATTATAAAATTTCGTCAGAAAGAGGCAAAGATTGTATAACTTACAAATTATTAATTATAACTTTGTGTGATATAAACAATATAGTTAGGTTTATTTAAAATATTTTAAAAATTTCTTATAAATTTATAATATATATAAAAATTTATCACATCTTTATCGGAACTGTTTCTTTAAAGGTGAAGTTTTTTATCGTCCGAACAATTAGCGGAAAGTTCTGAACATTGCTAACTCACACAGTAAGGCTCCTGTTTCCTCATCGCAGCCATATCGAATTATGAAGCGTCAGAAGCGAGAAATTACGCAACTTTTTTCTTTTGCACGATAAGACGAAATAAATAAATTATTTATCATATATTACCACTTCGATAATATATGGATTGCTATATCCCTAAAAAACTTTGTTTTTTTATTCAATTAAAAATTGACTTATTGTTAATCTCAGATATATTTACATTATCAAATGCGCAAATGGAAAAACTAATTTATTTCGATTTATAAAGCTTAAAAAAAAAATTTCACATGATTTTTCGTTATCGTAATTCAGTATGGCCGTGGATCCAGGAACATCGAAATCAGATAAAAATTAATTATGGAATAACCGTTGCTGGTAATCGTTAGGATAATTAAACTGCAGGATGTGGACGTGCTCGCGCAATTGATTTACGGGGTTCGATATCTGGACATCAGGGTCGGGCACTACCCTAACACGAATTCGATATGGTGGGCTAATCATGGGGTATTCAAATCTGTCCCCATGCAAAACGTCGTGAACCAGGTGAAGGCCTTCCTTAACAATACGAACGAGATCGTGATATTCGATATCCAGGAATTTCCCGTTGGTAATATCCCTTAAATCGTTCGATAAAGTATTTTTGATCAGACAAAAATAATATTCGAATATAGTATATATCAATTTGAAGATATATATAACATTTTTTATATAATTTTATATAATTATTATAATTATATAATACATTTTTATTATATAATTCTTATGTAACGTAGATATACATATTATAGAATAAGCAATATTTATTTTATACTATTTTTTTAATATACTTTATGGTATAATTTGTTATTATTTCCAATAATAACAATAATAAAAATATAATTTAATAATAAGATATATTTTTAATTCTTTTTCTTTCTTTTTTAATTGCACATTTGATGGTGTTACTAGGCTTTGGGAAAAATCTGGGAGTACATCACGATTTCGTTAGATTTCTCGAGGAACAATTTGCCGGATACTACTTGCCGAAGAGTTACGGATGGACCAGCACGCTGAATACAATCTGGTCATCTGGGAAAAGACTCATAATCGGTTACGATGAGAAACGAGTCGTCAGCCGCTACGAGAGCGTGTGGCCCTGCGTGACACATCAATGGGGAAATGTCAGAAACATCGAAGATTTGTTTAACTATCTGGATCGTATCGAAATGGAAAATCTTGGGTGTGTAAAATTCGTACAAAACTGATGCTGGCAGGCATTATAAAATATTTATAGCCCTATAAACTATATTCAATATTATTTTTGATACTTATGTCTATATCGTTTGATAAGTATCTTTGTTATAATCGCGTTTCTTTCTGATTTCAGATATCCTAGAGCGATACCGAGATCAGCGATGGCAGAATTAACGCCCAACACGTGGGACGTAATCTTAAATCGCCTTGGAAGCATTCGTCAGATGGCAGAGAAAGTTAATATCAACGTTACAAATTGGTATAATAGCAAATGGCAACATACGGCCAATATTGTCGCCGTCGACTTCGTCCGATCGTCCGGCATCATCGAAACTGCGATCGAATGGAACGAAAGACGTAATTCGCATTGTTAAGAAAGTAAAAAAAAAGAACTTATAAACCAAAGTTTGTTAATACATTCAAATTATAATAATTCATAGCATACCGAGCAGCGCAAAAGGTTTTATGCTAGTACTTAATAATTTATTATCTCGACACAATCTTCTGTATAGTTATGTTTTATGGATATATAATAAATTTTATACGCACAAGGGGTGAATCACGCAAATAGAAAATGTCTATAATTGAAAGAACATAAATATCTCTAAAAAATATTTTTCGTAGAAATATAATATACGAGAGACGATGTTTTTGTAATCTAATATTTTTTTTAATCAGAACTAATCAACGGTAACCCGCCTCGTAAAAATCCGTTTACATCAACCCTCTGTTATCTTAAGAAATCTAGATAAAGCATAATGGCAGCTCGCGCAAATTGCGTAATGCGTATACTTTTTGCGTGATAATCGCAGTTCCGCCGGATGCACGAATAATGCTCTAGTCAAGGTAACCGAGAGAAACAAAATTGTCTATCGCGCACAAAAGCGCGCGATGCAACGAAATCAGTTCATCATCCGGTACAGATGATGTTAGTCGTGAATGCGAAATCGAAAATATATCAGTATCTTGCGTTAGCCGTCGTGTACTGAAAGAACAACGAATTTAGAACAGGAAACTTTTCCTCTGGAAGGAAACGATAATTTTTTTACAAAGTCGATCGGCGCTTATTCCTTTTATGAAGAAAATTATTTTGTTAGAATCATTTCTTAAAATCAATTTGCGGTTTCTGATTATACGAATATTATACGAAAGTAGAGAATTTTAATCCTTACTAAGGTGACCATCTATTTATATTCATATTTAGAAAAATGTGCTGCTTATTGCTGTTGCTTTTACTGCCAATAGTAACTTCGAAACCGTGCGAGTATTCCGAGTCATATCAATATTATATGTGCCAAAATAATTCTCTCTCTTGCCCTGGCAATCAGAAATGCACATTCATCGAACACTGCCCGGCGGTTGTATCTCTAATGGAACGAAACGAGCTCTCCGCTCACAGGTAACGTGATATCGTATTTTTGCATTATAAAGTATACGCGTGTACCTACATACATAAATTTTTTGAGTACAGATTACGGCAAGCTGTATGTGGATACGATCAAACGCGCATGAAAATTTGCTGCAGCGTAGACAGTTATTCCGAACGGCCAATATATACGAATCAGGATGCATATCTGACGCAATCCTCTTCGAGCTCTTATTGTGGGAAGAGTCTTATTCGAAATAACATAGACAGTTTAGGATCGTATCCTTTCGTCGCGAGGATCGGTTTTACAAGCAAGTATTTGCGCGAAATGCTTGTATTATACCCGCTCATTTTTTTTTCTTCGATCCTTGTCGTTGAGAATTAAAATATTGTGCCACATATAACGTTGTTGATAACTTTTCATTCAGTGCATTAACTCTGTTCAAAGTTCTTTAACAAAGTTGTGTGGCTTCAGTGACACTATGTATACAACAAACTATACTAGAGTTTGTCTATTTCTTTTTTTTTTAAGGACAGACCAATTAGCTATATTTCTTTTATTATATAAGACATGCGCTTTGAAACTGTTAGCAAGAATTAGTTTTTCAGATACATTAACGAGTGAGATCAAATACTCGTGCAGTGGCGTGATTGTTAATGAGCGTACAGTATTAACTACAGCTACATGCGCACTCGCGAAATCGGACAGATACAAATTGTACGTATATAGCAGTCGAAAATATAACGAATAATCGTTGCTCAGATTTTCGATTGTGTTTAATTAAGCCTGGAATCGTAGCATGCAATAATTATAAACGGTTTTCGTTCGTATTTAGATGCTCTGTGCTTATTGGTGAATATAATACAGAGTCGAATCCAGATTGCAATAAATTATTTTGCGCACACAATACCAGTAGCCACGATATATCGTATGTGATAAAACATCCAGGCTATGACGCCGCAACTTTTTCCAATAACGTTGCCTTACTTCGTTTGAAGAAGGCTATCAATTTTACAGGTATGTACAATTCTTAAATATACATATTAGAACGCTTGACAATCAGTCTTAATGAAATGCATATCCGATCTTCTTCAGCCACAGCGCAACCAATCTGCTTTATACCAGAAGACAGATACGTCAGCTTGGAAAGTACATGCACCGTTGTTGGCTGGGGAAAATTGTCCGATCAAAAAGGTATTATAATAATTGAACAAACTATTGTAAAGCATAAACTGTAAGCAGTGTTTATGTGTGATGTAAAAATGCGATAACCCTGTGATCCAGCACAACCACCGACGCAACAGTCATTACAACTAAAACTCGTACCTAAGCAGCAATGTTCAGATTATTCAAGCCACAGTCTGTCTGTTGAATTATGTGCCAAAGGAAATTGTGAACCTTGTTCAGGTTACAGTGGAAGTCCTCTATTATATAGATATGCAGACACATATTTCCTGGTATGTTGTACTATCTTATAAGATATATATATATATATATATATATATATATATATATATATATATATATATATATATATATATATATATATATATATATATATATATATATATATATATATATATATATATATATATATATATATATATATATATATATATATATATATATATATATATATATATATATATATATATATATATATATATATATATATATATATATATATATATATATATATATACACTACAGATGGTATTTCACATATTTATATATATACAATATTTTTTTTATCAGGTAGGAATCCTATCATATGGGTCTAGTTGCGACTCAAGCACCATTTTTCCATCTGCGTTCATAAATGTACAGAAATACACAAGATGGATTCTAGAGAATTCTTAAAATTGCAAATGCAACCATCTCAAAATGGCACTTAAGAACACCAATTGATATTGCACTTTCACGAGTTTTATTTTTTTATCTACGAAATATTATTTATGTTTAAATATATTCAAATATTTTCCACGCGTCATTTCCTTAGCTTCTTCTAGACCCAGCTGATAAGCTAAATCGTGCAGTTTTTTCACTTCCGAGATAAGCCCGGTCATTGTTAAATTACCCAATTCTGCAAGAAAAATTTTGTTCGATATTTAGCAACACAAGATGAAGAATTATATTTTAATGCATATTAACTCACGATGCAATTGACTTATGTCGTCCGCTGAAAAACTCGCAGTCCAAAAACATGGTTCTGTCTGCGGTGAATTTTGAGCAACAAACTCATGCACACCTGGAACTTCATTGCTCGCTACATATATGATGTATATTATGTATATATATATCTCAAAAAGAGATCTTCCGAAAAAGAGATACTCACTTTGTTCAGGCCATAAATCAGGAGATGCTCTATCCAGTTTCTCTAGACTCATTAGGCTCTCCTCTACACAAGACAAATCTATAAAACAGGAATTTACCATTTTAGCTCTTTGTACTTGAAATATTTTCATTACAATATAAAATATTATTTTATCCTTGAAATCTATAGAATTTTAAATTTAATTCGATACAAGAAAGATCAATCTGTATAATACTTTGTAAACAATTAATTGAATTTAATTATTTTTTTAGATATAAAGTTACATTCTTTACCCTAAATTGTCATATAAGATTAAATAAGATGTTGATAGAAATTAAAATATAAGTCTTTAATATTTTGAGCACCTATTAAAGTTTACAAAAATAATATTATCTCAAAGATTCATTTTGGATTCTATTTTGTTGTTTCTCTCTTTTTCACAAAAGAACTACTATTTAACTATATCATAACAAAAAAGATAAAAAGATAGAAAAAAATAACACAAAAAAATAGTCTAAGAAACATTTACATCGTGTTGCGTAACATATTTAGTATATATAACTATAACCTCAGTATATATACCAGAGCATAACCAGTGCACTTTTGTTCTCTAAAACTCCAAACTTACCTGGTTGATCCACAGTCTCTTCAGTGGCCATAACGTTCGTAGAATCGGAAAGAAATTGAAATTTATCGTTTCTAGAGCGAAAGATCACAATGGATCGACAAAACGGAGTGAAATGACGGAACGAGATATTTGAAACACGCACGAACTGTGTTTTATGTTCTTTATAAAAACTCTTGAGCAACAGAATATAACTTCGCGTTACGTATTCTTCTCTCGAATCGTCGTCATCCCTCTGCGCAATTCCTTGGCTAGTTCAGCCTGTTGCTGCAGAACGTAGACATTTTCTGCTTTTCGGCGCTCACGTCGCTCGATGTCGCGTATCACACCTAAATGAAGTTGCTCCCTGTAACGTAACATAGCGCATCATCTAATTTATCGAATATTTAAATAGCAATAACGCGCATACTCGCTTACCTGTCGTATGCCTGTTTGTAATGAACGTAGCCTATTATTCCGACAGACGCCGTACAACATAAACCGAAAGTGACTTTAGACGCTGTTGACATGCTTGAAGAACGACATGCGCTGTCAAGTTGCCGCACATGGTCGCGCGAGGCATGATGGGATAATCGATATTATAATAATGGAGAATTCACACTGCGTTCGATATCCGACTGAAGTTGGCTAGTTAGTGAGAAAATAAACTCTCTTATTGGATATCAAGCTATCATTACTAGAGTCCTAGATTATCAGAGAGGCGCCACTCTACCCCCACCATGCCCACCGCCGCCATTTTAAGACACAAACGTCCATAGACATAGTATATCTAGACCATAGACATAGTATATCTAGACCATAGACATAGAATATCTAGACCGAGCGTTTGCCTTTATTTAAGGAGTGGGGGTAAGTGTCGGTCTACAATAGTGATTTAAGCTCTAAGCCTTAAGAAATTGACCAATCACGATCAAGTATGAGGAGAATACTCGACTGTGATTAGTCAATTTCTTAAGACGCAAGGGGCACAAAACAGAGTATGTCCTTTTCTACGTGCACCTCGGCTCCCACTCCTTACCTTTACTCTAGTAAACCTTTACTCTAGTGTTCAAAAATTTTGCACACCGAAATGTTTTTTACTAGGCTTCTAAATACATTTTCAAACGTTCACTTATATTCTTTCATGCATTTCCGAGTGGGAACCTATCTTATTTTGTACATACAAACTGCCAAAACTTTTATATTAAGCAAATATATAATTATTATGGTCGGTAAAACAGGACGGTCCGGCATCACCTTAAGATGTCTGATGGTATGAATTTCGATGATTTTATTGCCTATATGAATAAAGTTATTTCAGAATTAAATTATATATAGAGAAGAAAAGAGAGATTATAGAAAAAAATTCTCTGCATTTACGATTGTTGATAACCACTTTTTATTATAAACTAAATCTCAGTTATTATTATAGATGGCAGGGAATGCTTTAGCAACGAGCTACCTTTTCTACTCAACTTTCCTTCTATATCCACAACAGATGGCAGTAGCACAACTACACAGTGAGTCTTTTAAAACTTATATTTGTTCTATCTATAGCTGTGTATTTTTTTACACTTTTAGTATTTAAAACTAAATAAATATATGCGCGCATTACACTGAGAGAAAAAAAAATATTATTATTCAATGTGAATTAGTCAGAAAAGATAAGAGAAAGATCATTATTTGTGTATCAAAAGTTAAAAGAGATGGATAGTGACTTTGTAAATTATTTTTTATAAAAAATATTGTTTTTCTAAAAATGCTTATACATATATTATATAAAATTGCGGTTTTGTGTGTGAAAGCAAAATTATTTACAAGATAATATTATATGTAATCTCTTTTTAGCTTTTCTTCGTTTTTAACGTAAAAGCGCAAGGTTCCCACTTTGTTGATATATATACTTTAATCGTGGAAAAGGATTTCTTATTTCATGTAACCAATAAAAAAATTTCGGTCTGCAAAGTGTAATTATTATGGACGGTAAAACAGGATGGTCCGGCATCACCTTAAGTAAATGTTGATGGCAGAAGCCGATAACAAAACTGTAATTTATTAATTTTTTTTTAATTTTTCATATGAAATCGTAAACTCCGCACTCCGTTACTATGTATAAACTTTTATGCACTTTAATTATGGAAAAGGATTTGTTGATATCTATAATCAACAAAAATATTTTGCATTTTAACTAATATTCGCATTCTGTCAGTAATCCGGCATCCTCTTAAGAGGATGCCGGACTGTCCTATTTTACCGGCCATAATAATTATATTTTTGTACACCGAAATTTTTTTATTGGTTACATGAAATGAGAAATCCTTTTCCACGATTAAAGTATATACATCAACAAAGTGGGAACCTTGCGCCTTTATGTTAAAAACGAAGAAAAGTTAAAAAGTTACAGATTTTTTATCGGCTTCTTGCGTCAGGTCGTAACAATATTTGCTTAATGACATTATTGCAGTATCTTTTTTCTCTCGATCATACGCTCTATCACGCTCTGTCTCTTTCTAATCGCTCGCTCGTTATGTACTACGTATTGCTTAGCTTCATGCTCCTCGCATATTCACTTACGCGTTCACTCGCGCTTCTCTCTCTCTCTCTCTCTCTCTCTCTCTCTCTCTCTCTCTTTCTGCTCGATCATTATTTTACTCTTTTATTCCCATTATTATATTCTTTTATTTGCTCAATCTCTCAATCTGTCACGCTCTGTCTCTTTCTAATCGCTCGCTCGCTATGTACTACGTATCGCTTAGCTTCATGCTCCTCGCATATTCACTTATTCACTTACTCGCGCTTCTCTCTCTCTCTCTCTCTCTCTCTTTCTCTCTCTCTCT